GTCCTTCTGGGTAGGTACCACGATTTTACACATTTGTACCGCTTAAGAGCAGTGCTTCCATTGCTTCGAGCTGTGTTACTCACACTCAAGCAATTAAATAAAAAGCAAATAAAAACACTCACAACAATTCCTATGATGGAGACAAAGTCTCAAAGGAGACAACGCACGTTTCTTTGTTTGGAGTTGGCTGCTGGTGTCTATGAATTGCAGACGGTAAGTAGCTAACTTACCATCATGGTTTGTAAATTCGTTTGTTACTTTAGTCTTTATAAAAAAAAAGAAAAACGAAATACGCAGAAGCATTATGCTGCTATTTCAAGTTGGTATTCTGTGAGAGCGTGGTCCTTAGTTTTTCCCGGTCAATCAGATTCATTCGCGCTGCAGCAATAATAGGAACATTACCCGCATTGCCCTGCCACTTATCAACTCTCTTTGTTCGTATTCTGTGAGACCTAGCCCTAATTCTTTGCCTTGTCACTTATACTGTCAGTCTTGAGCGACCACTTGTTTGGGAGGATTTCATTTAAACTCCACGCTTAACTTTCGTTCTGCAGTAGCAGCACTTCTGTTCTCATATACCCGCATGCCTGCAACCCTGCCTAATTTACGCCCTATTTAAGGGATTACGTGATCTTAGGCTACTATAGAAACCGTGGCGGTGTAAGAATATCCACTACCCCATTATCATTCCGTATATGCTGTAATAGGCAACAGAGGAAAACAAATCCGGAGAAGCTGGTTTACGATGATGTTTGATGCCGTGTAGTGGCGGTTAAGAATATCCACTACCCCATATCTTCACGTGGGTGTCGTAAAAGGCGACAAAGGGAAACAGACAGGAGATGGGCAGCAGCATCTTCCTGATAGAAGCCGTAATTACAATAAAAAAAAACTGCGGTTGCCAACCCGCTCGCCAAGCGTGGCAACTATGGCAAATACCCCCCTATGAATGAATGTAACAAAGAGACGACCCCCACTCCCCGGCGGCCCCGCTATTCCTGGCTACGGTGGCGATCATGGTAACGGCGGGGCAGGGGGTGCTAAGAATCTCCGGTGGAGGTTCGGTTGCCACCTACGACGACTCAACCTGGCAACATACAACGCACGCACCCTGACGACTGACGAGAAGATCGTGGAGCTGGACGAAGAGATAGGCAAGTTACGCTGGCATATTATAGGATTATCCGAAGTCCGAAGAGAGGGGGAGGACACGGTGATCCTCGAATCCGGCAACTTGCTCTATTACCGGGAGGGCGACCATCTGTCCCAAGGAGGTGTCGGATTTATCGTCCACAAGTCTCTCGTTAACAACGTTGTAAAGATTGGGAGTGTGTCGACGAGGGTTGCGTACCTCATACTCAGAATCACCAAACGGTATTCGCTGAAGGTCATACAGGTTTACACACCAACCTCGGCACACCCTGATGAGGATTTGGAGGAAATGTATGACGATATCTCTCGAGCCATGCATTCTTCCAAAACCCACTATACGGTGTTAATGGGAGACTTCAACGCAAAACAAGGCACAAGAGAGATCGGTGAGCTGAAAGTAGGGAAATTCGGATTAGGGCAACGAAACCCAAGAGGCTAGCAGCTGGCCGACTTCATGGAGAAAGAGGGACTCTTTATGATGAACTCTTACTTCCAGAAGCGGCCTCACAGGAAGTGGACCTGGTCTAGCCCCGACGGTTCCACAAAAAATGAGATTGACTTCATTATGACGACCAGACGACAACTGTTCAGTGATATCTCAGTTATCGCGAGGGTGAAAACCGGCAGCGATCACCGAATGGTTAGAGGAACACTGAGCCTAAACGTTAAGTTGGAGAGGTCTCGTCTAATGAAGTCAACGCTCCGTCCCCCTCGTGCTCTAATCCAAAGTCCCGATCCCTTTCAGCTCGAGTTACAAAACCGATTTCAGTGCCTAGAAGACTGCAATGAAGTGGACGATATGAATGACAAGCACGTGGAAACTGTCCATGCGGTCGGAACTAAGTTCTGCAAGACCCGCTGCAGAAGAACACAAAAACTCTCCGATCACACTCTTAATCTCATGGTTGTTAGACGGGAGATGAAGCTACATTCTTCAACAGATTTGATGCGGCGGGACTTACGCAACTTCAATACAGCTCGTATTGAAGAAGCGATCGAGCGGAACCAAGGCTCCAAAGTCTTTGCCAGAGATCTGTCTGCCAGAAAGAGCCAACTGTCACAGCTGAAGACAGAATGTGGCAGCATCGTTTCCGGGGCACCTGAGATTTTGAGTGAGATTGAGAGGTTCTATGGGCAGCTGTACACGTCATCATTGGAGCCACACGCAAGTGTGAGTAACGATCCATGAGCGACATTATTCTCTTAGTCTTATCAGACATTATTCCGATGATATCCCGGACGTCAATTTGAGCGAGATTAGAATGGCTATCCACCACCTTAAAAACGGCAAGGCCCCAGGTGAGGATGGAATTACAGCGGAACTTCTGAAAGCGGTTGGAAAACCGGTACTTGAAATCCTTCAGAAGCTCTTTCATTCCGTCCTCCATAGTGGCATTACACCGGAGGCGTGGAGCAGAAGTGCGGTGGTCTTATTCTTCAAGAAAGATGACATCGCTCTCTTGAAGAACTACAGGCCGGTTTCCGAAAAGGTTTTAGCACCATAGACCACATACATACCTTTCGACAAATTGTACAGAAGTCAGAGGAGTACAATTTGCCACCATGTCTGGCGTATGTGGACTATGAGAAAGCCTTTGATTCTGTCGAAATTTGGGCGGTGTTACAGTCCCTTCAACGGTGCCAAGTTGACTGTCGGTATATCGAAGTGCTGAAGTGCTTGTACAGTAGGGCTATCCGAGTACAGAACCAGAGTACGAAACCTATCCAATTGCAGAGAGGTGTAAGACAGGGTGACGTCATATCCCCGAAACTCTTTACCGCTGCATTGGAAGATGTTTTCAAGCTTCTGGACTGGAAAGGATACGGTATCAACATCAATGGCGAGTACATCACTTACCTTCGATTTGCCGACGATATAGTCCTTATGGCTCTCTATGCTCAATGACCTCAATAGTGTTTCACAACGGATAGGTCTTAAGATGAACATGGACAAAACAAAGATCATGTTTAATGTCCATGTCACACCTATGCCGGTAGTTGTTGGGAGCACTAAGCTCGAAGTTGTTGACGAGTATGTTTACCTGGGACAAATAGTCCGACTAGGTAAGTCCAACTTCGACCGAGAGGTCAATCGACGGATTCAACTCGGCTGGGCAGCGTTCGGGAAACTACAACAAATCTTCTCGTCAGACATACCTCAAAACCTTAAAACGAAATTGTACAACCAGTGTGCGTTGCCAGTGATGACATACGGAACTGAGACGTAGACCTTCACTGCTGGCCGGATGAGGAAGCTCAAGGTCGCTCAGCGAGCTATGGAGAGGGCTATGCTCGGAGTTTCTCTGCGTGATAAACTCAAAAATGAGGATATCCGCAGTAGAACCAGAGTGACCGACATAGCCCAACGGATTAGTAAGCTAAAGTGGCAATGGGCTGGCCATATAGCTCAAAGAACCGACAACCGATGGGGAAAAAAGGTTTTCGAGTGGCAGCCTCGTACCGGCAGGCGAAGTGTTGGGCATCCCCCCACTAGATGGAGTGACGACCTGGTGAGATGTACAGGAAGTCGATGGATGCAGGTGGCTCAGGACCGTGCTTTGTGGCATTCCTTGGGGGAGGCCTATGTTCAGCAGTGGACTTGTGAAGCGCTGTAATGATGATGATGATGATGATGATGTTTGTGCTGTTAGCCTTTTGGCTTTTACAGCTTCATCGGACTCAGAGCTGAAAAAGGGTGAATATTTTACAATTTTGTACGTGGTAGAGCCATACTGCAGCTATATTAGTAATATAGTTGTTTAGGCCAAAAATTAACCTTTTGAAAATTGAATTCATAACTCGCGACTCGGCGCGTGCATAGCACGGTACGAAGGTCACCGCTGGCCCCTCCCCGGCCGCATTCCAATCGTTTTCGCGTCGATCGAGACGCGTCGAGAGATTGATAGTGAACAACTGCCGGTCGAAAGGAGGAAAAAGTCGAATTAATTACCTATTCCTTATATATTGACTATCCATAGGCATTTCGAGTCCCACCCTTAGTTGTCCGTCGAATGGGCCTCGGGATATTTGACCTTATGGCCTTTACTGTAATTCAGTGAAATGGTTCTATAGCTATCTGACACAACGACTGCAATATGTGGAGCTGAAGCGGATGGATGGTACTTCAGTGAGGTCACATCCACAAATCGTTACTCGCGGAGTTTCTCAAGGGTCAATATTGGGGTCAATCTTGTACATCTTGTACAGTGCCGATATTATTAACACCATTACAAATTGTCGTCATCATCTGTACGCTGGAGACCTGCAGGTTTACTTCCCTTTTGCACCGGCTGATTGTACCAGTGTTGTAGCCAAGGTGAACGAGGACCTGGACAGCATCTCTGCCTGGTGCAGTTCAAACTGTTTGACAATTAACCCCAAGAAGTCCCAATTCATGATCATTGGTTCGCCCAAGAATATTCCTAAATTTAAAGATATAACTTAAAATATTCACATAAATGCCAGAAATCTAGAACTTGTCATCGATTGCAAATTAAAATTCGAAAAATATGTAGCGGAATGTGTTAGAAATAGTTTTTACCGGCTGAAACTCCTTTACAAGTTGAGACCCTACCTGAGTGAGAGATTGAGAATTACCCTCTGCGAGTCTTTGGTTCTCAGCAGGATTAATTACTGTGACTGTATATGGTCCATGCCTCTTATCAAGAACGTCCAGACTTATTCAAAGAGTGTAAAATGCATGTGCGCGTTTCTGTTTTACAGTTCCACCTCGGTCACATGTTACCCCATATCTCAATGGCGCAAACATGCTTAGGATGGAGGCACGCAGAAGATTGCATTTGACTACTATGATGTTCGGAGTCATCACTACAAGAAATCCTAAATACCTCTTCCTAAAGCTGGAGTAGGCCCATGAACACAGCAGATACACCAGGAGGGAGTGTCCCCTCGTTTTTACCACTCCAAAACATCGCACCATGGCGTTTCGGGGCTCCTTCAGATTCGCTGCGTCACGGTGTTGGAACAACCTGCCTCCGCCTTTGCGTGCCCTACAAGTGAGAAACACGTTTAAAACTCACTTAAAAAAATATCTTATCTCACTGCAAAAGGGTGGTGGTGCTGATTCACTTACCATGAGGTGCTCACGTCGCGCACCGGCGCTGGCGGGCCCGTCCCACTGTAAATAAATAATTCCAGCATCCCGACGAGTTCCACCTGACGCGCGTTCCCTCTCCGCAATATCGTCGGCATAGTGTACTGTAAAAAAAAGACACTCTAAAATAACCTATTTAATGACGTTTTGTACAGAGAACAAAATCAAGTAATAGGTCAATGCTTACCAGAAGGAATTGCGCGACGCGCAGGCTGAGGCAATTAATACAAGATGTATGGTCATCTGGTATTTGTTTGACTATTTTCTTTTTCTTTTTCTTTTTCTTTTTCTTTTTCTTTTTCTTTTTCTTTTTCTTTTTCTTTTTCTTTTTCTTTTTCTTTTTCCCTTTTTTTTCGGATTCGTTCGCTCGGTCGGGACTTGGAACAAATTATTTGCTTTTTATATGTTTGTTGGAGTAGCCACTAACTTAGGTTTTAGTTTTTAGTAGTTATTTAATAGTCTATTATTACATTATTGTTTAGATTTCTGTGAAGTAACGAAGTAATAAGTAATATAGTGATGTAATGTAATGTGATGTAATGTAATGTAATTTAAGGGCCTATACTACCTCAAATGGCTTAGCATGATCCTCCGTTATGCGGAAAATACTGCAGCAATGATTTTGAAATAAATATATGGTGAAGTTGAGGATTAATGTTAAGTACTATCTTAGACGAAAACACGATTCCATAAAATTTTCTCGATAGAAAAAAAATCCAAAGTTACCTCCAAACCGAAAAATAAACCGCTGGTATTCAAAAAATACTTCAAATTAGATCATGAAACTTTGCATACTAACTGAAATAACTATAAAGCAATGCTTATCTTTTTTACTTTTTTTTAATTATCATTATTTTCACCGTAAAAAGAAATTACCTAAAACTATAGTCGTTTTAAAGCTTGTTCCCTGCCGCCCGACACCGCCGCTCATTCCCGCTTCGGCTTTCGAACGGGAGAGCTGTGTCGCTTGCGCCCAGAACACACATTACGTAACAGGACGACGTAAATTTAAAATATTGAAATAGATAATTAGGTTTATAGTGTTGGCGCAATGGGAAATAAGCGTAATAAAAAAAGATGCGACTGGGTTGGCGTAAAGAAACGGACAAACATATGATAAACGTAATGAAGTATCTACTTACAGTGTTAGTGATTACGAATATGTAGAAATTTAGTTTATTTATTTTTTATAACGTTATTAATTTAGTTTTTTTTATAACGTTGCCCCACTCCAGGATTTCTCCTGAATCGGAGACGGTGCGATTACAAACACAAATTTCCACAACTATCTGTAGGCCATAAAAATATTTGTTCCGTATGGGAATCGAACCCGCGACCCGAACTTCAGAAGCCAAGTACTTAGTTAGTAATAAAAATATAAGTGTGTTCGGTAAGTAGGTACTTACCTATCTAACTATAAAGAAATAAAACTGTAACTTGTTTATCCGTCCTTACTTTATCGTTACTCCGTGGCGCACTGGCTTAGCAATGAGTTGCTGCGCTGGAGTCCGTGGGTTCGAATCCCGCACGGAACAAGTATTTGTATGGCCTTTGTAAACAAGTTTAAATGTTTTATTAAAGAAAAATAGTACAAAAAGGGTGATTATAATATAAATGAAAATAACCCCCGGGAATGAGGTGATCGCCACCATGCTGGTTCTAAAAAAAATTCTTTCAAAAATTGTAACATAATAAATTTATTGTAAATTTAAATATATTTAAAAAAGTACCGCTGGGTTTCTTGTTGGTTCTTCCCAGGACAGAGATTTTTTTATGCGAACCAGTGGTAAATTAAAAAAATGACTCAATAAGAATTATACAATAATCAATATTGAATAAAAAAATCAATATTGACTAAAAAAAACATTCATTTCATTTAATTCATACCTATCTACCTACGCTGCCCTACCTATCCTTACCTACGTACGTACCTACCTACCTATCTATCTACATACTTACCTATCTATCCATCTTATATTTATACAAACCTTGTCCTAAAAATCACGATTCATTTATATATATATATATACTAGCTGTTCCTCGCGACTTCGCCCGCGTGTTAATTGGGGTTTTAATATTTTTGCGCGGAACCCTAATACTGTTTCTAAAATAAAAGTAGCCTAAATTACTTCTTGTAACATCAGCTATCTGCCACTGAAAATCCCGTCAAAATCTGTCCAGCCGTTTCGGAGATTAGCTGGAACAAACAGACAGATAGACGGACAGACAGACAGGCAGACAAAAACCTTTAAAAAATATTTTTGTTATTAGTACCGTATATTCTTTCATATGCATTTAGTAAAAAGCTGTAATTTTGGAATTACATACACACACTTCAATTTTATTTATTTGTATAGACTAGCAGTACCTTGCGACTTCGCCCGCGCGTAATTTATTACGATTAGATTTCATGGGTTTTAATTTTTTTGCGCGGAACCCTAATTCTGTTTCTAAAATAAAAGTAGTCTATGTTACTTCTTATAACACCAGCGATCTGCCAGTGAAAGTCCGGTCAATATCGGTTCAGCCGTTTCGGAGAAGAGCCGGAACAAACAGACAGACAGACAAAAATTTTAAAAATCGCGTTTTTGTTATAAATACCGTATATACTTTCATATGCATATATTAAAAATCTGTTATTTCAACATTACAAACAGACACTTCAATTTTATTTATTTGTTTAGATATAAATGACTTAGGGTTTCTCTGCGTGATAAACTTAGAAATGAGGATATCCGCAGTATAACCAGAGTGACCAACATAGCCCAACGGATTAGTAAGCTGAATTGGCAATGGGCCGGCAATATAGATCGAAGAACCAAAAACCGATGTGGAAAAAAGGTTCTCGAGTGGTAGCCTCGCACGCACGCACGCACGCACGCACGCACGCACGCACGTACGCACGCACGCACGCACGCACGCACGCACGCACGCACGCACGTACGCACGCACGCACGCACGCACGCACGCACGCACGCACGCACGCACGCACGTACGCACGCACGAACGCACGCACGCGAGCACGCACGCACGCACGCACGCACGCACGCACGCACGCACGCACGCACGCACGCACGCACGAACGCACGCACGCAAGCACGCACGCACGCACGCACGCACGCACGCACGCACGCACGCACGCACGCACGCACGCACGCACGCACGCACGCACGCACGCACGCACGCACGCACGCACACACACACACACACACACACAGTATATATATATATATATATATATATATATATATATATATATTCTTATAGGTATGTATATGTAGATACTTGCATAGACCTACTACCAATATAATTACATACGTAAATGGCTGTCACATTACAAATATACAAAAACTATAATACTATAAAACTCAAGCTTACTACTAAACCAACAATGGGCGGATCCTTTCACTATAAGATATAATTCCAGTATAAGCTGATCTCGTATTGTATAGGCTTTCCATACAATGAAGGGTCAACTTATATTAGAAATTTTAGCTTTATGTACAATGAAATAAAATTTGCGACATATAATTTTATGTTCATTTAATGACAAGTTAATATTAAATTATGACTGAAAATTTTATTGCTTTATGCTCGTCCGATAATAGTTTGTTTTACTCTAACAAAATCGCTTTGACCTCGTGTTCCCGCGTGACCGCAAGCCGTAGTGTGCGAACGAATGGCGCGGGGAAGTGGGGGGCGAAATTAGAATTTGAGCTGAGGTAATATAGGCCCTTAAGGAAATATTTTTGTCTGTTTATTTGTTTGTTTATTTCAAAATTCCGGAATATTTCGATCACTGTTATAAATATTTTAAGTCTTGTGTTATCTCTTTTGTTTTTTTAGCATTGTTTTTTGACAACCATGATGACAAACATCAAAGCGTCCCCGTATTGTGCACCCATAGAATTATTACGCAATAATTCTATGGGTGCACAATGTATAATTAACTGTTAACCATTTGTACATTTGCATCACTGCTGTGTCAATAAAGTTTATTTTCTTTCTTTCTTTCTAAGTCAGCGGCCAAGGAGGATGAGCCTTGTGGGACGGGCTTTGATTTTGTGACCTGGCACTGGCCGTGATTAGACAAGTGCCGGTGGTTTCACTTAAGCATTAGATTTTGGCGCAGAAGGCACGGGAGGGCTAGCACCTTGCTCGGCCGCCCCGGCGACTAGGGTGAGCTTGGTGGCGATTTGAGGCGAGGATGTGGGCACCGAATATGGTGCGGGCTTGGGGGCAGGTAGCCGAGAGCGAGATACACTGGCTTGACCCGCGCGTCCGAGACGGCTTCTAGCTACGCGCTATTTCCTTCGCGGCGCTTTGGAACACTCGCGATAATTCGCTGGGTGACCGTCTTCGCGGCAATTGACGCAGTTCGGAGGTTCGACCGTCTCGGACCTGCGGGGCAGTCGGTGGTGCCGTGGTCATCTAGGCACTTGACGCACCTAGGCATGGCATAACAGTTCTTAGCCGAATGGCCGTAAAGTTGGCAGCGGTGGCATTGGCCAACGATATTTCGGATACATTTGTGGATTGCAAATGAGCCGAACGTTAAAAAAATATTTTCTTGCCTTCCGGAGACAGGTCCAGAATGACCAGGCATAAATCTAAAAAGCGTTTACGGTCGGTTTGGTGGTGCATTCTATGCACCTTCCGGACCGGAAGATTTTGGGCTTTGAGGTCATTTAATATGTGCTCAGTGTCGAGCTCTTTAGGGAGACGGCGGACAACCACACGAAGGTTATCTGGGAGGGCGTATGTGTGGAAGGTTATTTGCTGGGCTCACAGGTGACTTGTTACACTGTTGAATTCCTCGGTAGGGTTTAGAAACATCCGAATGCCCTGACCGGTGTTTTGTACTGTGGCGGCGCTGTCGTCGCGCCACAAGCGAAACACATCGCAGCCTAAATCGCGCTATCAAAGTTCCGAAATTAAATCAGCATATATAGAATAGCTCCGAACTACCAATCGGAGCGCTGGCCGCTCCCCGGGCAGTACACCTCGCCCGGCGGGAGATCTCCCCTTTTCCTTCCACCCGCTACAGTACCTTTGGGCAGTATGTTTTATTAGAGTTCAACCAATTGGAAAGGGTATT